CACTCAAACCAACAACGCCTTCAGGTACAGCACACTGTATTACAAATTTTATTAACGCTGACAAATTTTCTGTTTCCCATAGATGTTTTTTGGCAGCTATAAGTGCAGATGTTGAGCCTACATTCTTTTCTGAGGCGGTCAAAAACCCGCTATGGGTACAAGCTATGAAAGAAGAAATTCAAGCATTGGAAGCTAATGGAACTTGGTCACTCGTCCCCCTACCTCCTGGAAAGAAAACAATCGGATCCAAGTGGGTCTATAAAATCAAGCACAAGTCTGATGGAAGCATTGAACGCTACAAAGCTCGTTTGGTGGTGCTTGGGAACCGACAGAAAGAGGGCATTGATTTTAAAGAGACTTTTGCCCCGACGGCTAAGTTGGTTACTGTTCGCACTCTTTTAGCTGTTGCCGCGGCCCGCAACTGGTTCCTACATCAGATGGACGTTCACAATGCATTTTTGCATGGAGACCTTCGCGATGAAATATACATGACTCTTCCTCCCGGGTTTAACGCTCGCGGTAAAGGATTGGTTTGCCGGCTTCACAAATCCCTCTATGGTCTTCGTCAGGCTCCACGGTGTTGGTTTGCCAAACTCACCTCTGCGTTAAAACATTTTGGGTTCCACCAATCCAAGGCTGATTACTCTCTGTTTACTCTTCTGCGCGGATCCATCGAGCTCCGTGTGCTGGTATATGTGGATGATCTCGTGATAGCTGGAAATAATGAAGAATTCATTGGCAAATTTAAACGGTATCTCTCTGATTGCTTCCATATGAAAGATCTTGGTCTTTTAAAATATTTTTTGGGCGTAGAGGTTGCTCGAAATTCGAAAGGGATATTCATCTGCCAGCGCAAATATGCTCTTGATATACTTTGTGAAACTGGATTTCTAGGTGCTCGACCGGCTACTACTCCTCTTCCTCAGAACCAACGACTGGCTCTAGCACGTGGCCCACTTTTCACTAATCCAGAGCGTTATCGCAGACTTGTAGGGCGCCTCATTTATCTCACGATCAGTCGTCCTGACTTGGCATATGCAGTTCATGTGTTGTCTCAATTCATGGGGGAGCCGCGGCAGGAACACTGGGACGGTGCGACCCAGGTTCTACGGTACATCAAGGCCTGTCCCGGGCAAGGATTGTTTCTTCCAGTACAGAGTGATCTTACCCTTAAAGCTTTCTGTGACTCTGATTGGGCTGGGTGTCCCTTGACTCGACGTTCTGTTACTGGTTATTTTATCACTCTTGGCAATTCTCCGGTCTCTTGGCGAACAAAGAAACAAAGTGTCGTTTCCCGATCTTCGGCTGAGGCCGAATACAGGGCTATGGCAACCACTGTTTGTGAACTAAAATGGCTGAAATCCCTGCTTTTCTCCCTTGGTGTGCGTCACAAATAACCCATGCGGTTGTTTTGTGATAATCACGCAGCCCTCCATATTGCAGCTAATCCTGTTTTCCATGAGCGTACGAAACACATTGGAATTGATTGCCACTTTGTGCGTGACGAAATCCAACGAGGTGTTTTGTGTACTCGCCACATCTCTACCAATGAACAATCGGCAGATCTCTTTACAAAGGCTTTGGCTTCCGCTCCATTTTCCCATTTGCTGTCCAAGCTAGGCATCCAGAATCCGCATGCTCCAGCTTGAGGGGGGGTGTTGGGCGGTGCTCCTTGGATCACATGGCAAGAAGGAGAGCAAATCGTTTCCTTGTTCATATTTAGTGATTTGTTTCCTTGTAGGAATAGAATTCCTTTTGTGTTTTGGTCTTTATCCTCTCCTATAAATAAAGGAGAAACCCCTTGTACTTGGTAGAACAATTCAATATGCAGAAAGATTTTCCTCTTATTATTTTCTACATATTTATACTTAAATATCATGCACGTTGGCCATATAATTTCATAGTTTCATAATCGATAGCACAAGATACAAGGTTCACGTATAAATATCAAGGATATTCATTTTGGAAAGTTATCCATTTATTAATACATTAGTCTTGTTGTCAACGATGGTGGATATTAAATGCATATGTTTTGTGCGAATTTGAATCGCCCATATTCATACATATGATCAAGATATTTGTTCATGATGATGGAACAATATGAATGACATGATGCATGAGCTAGCCGTGCAGGACCCCTTGCGCTCAGATAAGAGATCACACCACGAGAGTTATGATTCAGGTAAACTTTAGTCTCATGACGAGACAAGAATAGTTGTGGGTGGCATTCGAAACCTAGATTACCATGTATGTACACAAAGCTCCTGAATGATACTCGCCCACCTAATCGAACCCGCGTTAAGAGGCGCACTAGGCCAGACCTCATAGGCAGTACGACGTGATATGAGTGATTCATACGTTATGAGTCTACTTCATGCATGATGATGTGAATGAACATACAAACATTGGAATACTCCAAGAACATAACATACATGATAGTAGACATTCAATAGTAAATCGTAGGAGCCATATTTGATAAAACATCAAGGTTAAACCCAGTCAAGGATTTCCAAAACTGGATTTGCACAGACTCTACGACCATGATAGTCGATCATGCGACACAACACTGTTCTGCTGCTACGGTTGGGGTAATGCACACGACGGTTGACTATGCTGCTAGACCATTTGTTCCTTCTTGTTTGGCAGTCATACTATACGGTTAAGCTGCGATCGAGGAATCCTTCAGGAGTACCCGTGAAGGTCCACCGTCCTCCACCGACGGTCAATCGTTCCTCTAGCAGAAGTCAGGGAATCTGTCACGGTCAAACGTGCTTACTGGTGGTGGATTGTGACGCTAGTAGTAGTCAGGGAAGCGCACAATAGTTCGTTCTCCTCAGCAGTCAACCGTTACGTTGTCCGCGAGCTGAGAACGAGTTTTCTTCAATGTTTCCATTATGCGTAGGACTTTGTTTTTGTTATATTCGTTCATTTTAACACTTAGGCAACCAAGTATACATATTCTTGATTGATTCCGATGTATAAATTTTGCATATTGGTTGAGGCTAATATAACAACTAGCCAAATAGTTGAGCACATAATATAAACAAATACGCCTAAGTTCATACATATAAAACACATATGTTTGGGCGAGAATGTATATGTTCATATAATTGTCTAAGTGTAGTCTAGCTTTTACTATAACACCTTAAGCAGTCCAGGTTTGTAGCTCCTTTTGGACTAAAATATTAACTTGGTAATCGTAAAAGTTTAAAATATTTCAAACACTTTTCTTTATCACAATAATATTTTTCTTAACATATCAGTACGGAGTTTTCAATATTGCGGAAGCTTAACAAATCAGAATCACAAAACATAATTTATTTATGTTCTTCAATTCAAAACCATCACATCCATCCCGACTATCTTGCCTCTGTCTGCCTCCAAGATCACGTCACATCATTTTTTCTATTTACCTGTGTGTAGCAAATAAAACATTCTACACGATCAGCGTTGAAGCTGAGTAAGTATATCTAATGCATCGAACATCCATATAAATTGAATTTCAATTCATAATCAAATCATTTGATATCATGCACATAATGTTCAATTCA